TTTAATAACAGATATCACAGGTGGATATTTGGTACTTGTGTTAAATAACAGTGTTCAACTGTTAATTATGTAACAGAGAAAGCACAGGGCGGCTTGGGACGGTTTATGTAACATTATGTGTCAATTATTTTGTATATTTAGTGAAATCTTTCTCTAAAACGACTACTCACGGCTTTTTTCGTACGTATAGTTTATGTAAATAACCGGTTAAGCATAGTAATATAAGTTCTAATAAGATGTTTAGGCATCTTAATATAATGTGTAAATGGTTATCAATTGCCTCGTGTTAATTTACTGATTTTACATTAAGGTTCGTTTAGTGGAAAGCTTTGATTAATTCAATATAAAGCTTTCGATTAATTTTATAATTGCTTTTTTAAATTTCTATTTCCTGTTGCTACATGTCAAGTGACGATATTAGAGAGTGACTTTACTAGTTGAGGTATCTTCTTAGCGAATGTCTAATGTCTCCTAATGACCTTAAACCTAGTGGCTCATGTACTCTAGGACCACGGAAGTAAGAGCTTGAGTGAGGGTTCACACACAGGAGGGGATCATCTACACACCGTAGATCGCCCAAAGTACGTTGGGGTACCAGGGATTTCCTTTCTAGGGTGTACCCGGTTATTTCAAAATATATTTGTATAGTTAACAGCAATAGGTTTTCTTTAATGGGACTAATCCTTCCCACACGCCCACCACTGTAACTCCTGTACACCAGGATCAACAGCAATACGAACAAACCGAGTTATGACATTCGGGAAGTCCTAGGAAAAAAATTAAATTAAAAAAATTAATCAATTAATTAGCAGAAAATTGAAGGCGTTGGAAATATAATAAATCCACTCCTTAGCAAAGCGGGAAACAAAATGAAGTAAAATGCACCCTTTTAAACAGGGAAACATCACGGCCACAGAATATTATGGGACCTAAGTGAGTTATATTTGATTTCTATCATATGGAGGGCGCAAAACAACGCAGAACACCAGCACTGCAAAAAGACGGAAACTTGATACAAACCCTATACCAACCCGTCTGGCCAGCGTGGTATAGTAGGCCAAAACCTTCTTTCTAAGGAGAGGCCTATGTCCAGCAGTGGACTATTAAAGGCTGTTGATGTGATGATGATGTGTGGGCAGAATGACCTTAACGCACAGAAATTCACCCTAGTTGACACAATAGGTTTGCCTTCCATTACGTAAATGGAACGTAGTCGTCAAGTGTGGGTGTATGTATGTGTGGTAATTTCTAAGGAATAACATATCCAGTCCTGCACTTCTCCATTCCATTCACTTCAATTCTCCATTCACTTCTTGACATTTTGTTAATTTTATTAGTTAATAGTTATCATTAGCTAATGTTATGAGTCTCTATATAAATATTTGCATGCCTAGTACAGGCAGAATATAGCTTGAATTTTTGTAAAACCTTTGTAAAATCTGGTACCACCTGTATTCTGTGCAAATAAATGTTTCTTTCTTTCTTTCTTTCTTTCTTTCTTTCTTTCTTTCCGAGTCGTATATGGAGAGAGTAGTAGCTCTTGTAATTACTCATTGCTTTAGTAGGTACGTCACTTTCTACTATAAGTCTACTTAGCTTGGTAAATGATTACGAAGGTGAGGTTTACACAGTAATTATTTAAGTTGAAACGCTTTTCACCTTAGGACAATTCCTTATGGAATGCATTCCATAAATAGAACTTACGTCGTGTCAAATATAATACGTCTTCTCCTTATAACATACATTTGACTGCACGGATGGCGTAATGGTTTAAGCAGTCGCCACGCCGTTTACTACTACGCTGAGTGCTGTGGGTCCGATCCCCACATGAGAGGACACTTTGTGTGATCCAAAAAATTGTTATTCTGAGTCTGGGTATTCTTTGTGTCCATTTCATGTGTGTATGATAATAAACTCCCCCGCAACACAGCATATACTTGTTCCTAAGACGGGAGTTGTCTTTTTTAACCAAGAAAAAAAAACCAAACATATCAGATTGGATATTTGAGATTGTTTTCACGCTTCAAATGTATGTATATTTAGCTTATAATATAAATTATTCATTAAATTATTCATTCCGTGGGTGTCGTAAGAGCCGACTAAGGGGGCAAACTACGCAGGAAACAGTACTGCAAAGAGAAGGAAAACTTAACATAAAACCTATACCAACCCTGCCGGCCAGCGTGGTATAGTAGGCAAAAACCCCTTTTTTCCAGAGGCCTAAGTTTTGTGGATGTGATGATGATACATTTATACACAACTTTCTAGAATAAAATAAAACTCTCGTCTTCACTGAAAACCGGTGTTAAACAATCTTTTATTAGGGACATTTCGGTGACTGAGGTCACTGAGGCCAGACCTCCAAAACTCAGGGGAACAGGGCGGGCACTCGAAGGCCGCCAACGCACTTGAGTCTCTTAAGTTGCAGGGCTTCATGGGAGGCGGTAGGCACTTTCCATCAGGTGACCCGTCTGCTCATATGCTTATATGCTTTTATCATTAAAAAACTTAAGATAAGCTTATACTCCTGAGATGTACCTCGTACTATGCTCTATAATAAAATTATAGTTAAAATCTCATAGCGCTGCGTTTAAAGTCATAATGCTTTATTCTCACGATAAATCAAAATAGTGCGGCTGCGCACACAATAGTGGAGATTTACATTGTCTTATAAAATTCACGCAAAAAGGTTACACAACGGAGAAATGTATGAGAACCATTGTTGAAAGTTTCATAAGCGATTCTGGTGCGAACTATTTATTTTATTATTATGTGTTAATATTTCTTTTTATATTTTATTACTCTATTTAATAAAATTGAACAAAGGAAGACTTACGTAACCATTGTGGTGTACATTACATTGCTTCTTTTCTTTGAATGCAGTTACGGCAGTATTGTTTTTCTTTATGACAATAAAGCAATGTACTTCAATTTTTTTACTCCTAACTTTCAAATTTAAATGTAAGTTAGGAAGGACTTAGATATATGATGAAATCAAACTCATTTGTACTTATACTCGTATTCCATATTTAAAGTAAATAAGAACTTAGATGCTACGAGTTTCACTGAATGAATGAATAGTTTGTTGTTAAAGACTGACAGTTACAGAAACCAGATTAAAAATATTTTAATAATGTTAAACACAATTTAAAAATCCTGGTCGAAAAATTAATAACATTGTTTTTTTTTTAATCTTTACAGTTGGTTAAAACTCAGAAGTTTACAGGTGTTAAGGGATTAAAACACAAATTACTCTTCACACAGTGAACTCGTTTAATGATAAATGAATAGATGTTGAAGCGCCTGAAAATATAAACACAGCAAATACACCGTGCACTTACTTTAATAGGTACTTTTTGTAACATCAATAAATTATATTTGTTATTGACGTGCGGTAATACCGCAACAATGTTTCTTTTTTTATTTATTAAACAGTATGAAATAAAAACATGAAATACCCATAAAATCCGTATTGGTTTAACTTAATTGTTTCTGTATAACCAAAAGTTCATAGTAAGGAAGTGTATATTGATAATATATTGCCGTTTTGTACATTAAAAAACTAGTTGTTAACAACGTTATGTAACTTGTGAGCTACCTGTTACAATCATACAATTTAACAAAACTTGCATTACGAAAGAAATCTAATAGAAATACAGAGTATAGAGTTGTCTCCGAATTTGAAACAGGTATTTGAGATATTATAAGCTTGGATTTTTTGTATCAAATCATACAAAATTGAGTAAACGATAGCGGGAGCTGTTCAAACTATAATCATTACAACTTTTAAGGCATTCACGACTACATCTCGATATTGTGATATTTTCATATTTTGGTATAATATGGATGTTTTGAAAAAAGTAAATATATATTGAACATTACCGAGTGGCGTCAAAAAAGTTTTACATACAGACAATATACGAATAGTATTTCCCTAAACTCATGAAGTTTCTGATACGCAATGTCAATTATGAATACCAACATCAATATACAGCAAATACCTACACCTCATCATTACCTTTTATTTTTATTTTTATGTTCATTGACGGGGTGGAAAATCCCTTCGGATCTCCCGTTCCTTGGGAATGTAGGAGCCAGGAGTATGTGGTGTTTCCATTAAAAACCACCCCGAAAAAAGGACCCGGGCCATGTTATTTCAGGTCTCCTCCGAAACGACGCCGCGCCCAGTACCTCATCACTACCTAGACAAGCTGAAGTATAATAACACCAAGCGAAGCATAAAAAAATAGCAATTGAATTAGTTTGTAAACAAGTTCTTAATTAAAGTGTTTAGTTAACTGACTAGTTTGGAAAGTGTCTGCTGGCTTTCCACATTTCTCATACATCCACACAATACTACAAACCATAAAACCATCTTAACATTTCTTCACATAAAGCCTTTTGAACTGCAGTGAACTCTATTGTTTAGGTGTTAAAGTTTATTTACAAATGAACAATGGTGACGGTTTTATGTTAGAAAGTGTGAAGATAAATTGGTTTTAGATTTAGTTGGTATTTGAAGGGCATTGAATAGTAAAAATATCTGTGGAATTTGGACTTTGGAGATTTTTGATATACAAAGTTTTGTGACTCATGATTTTGGATGCTTATACCAATCGCAAAGAAATAGCAAGCGAGATTTAGATTACCACTGCTAAAATAATAATAACTTCAAACATGTCAGACTTTGCCGTCTGATCCCGAACTTGAACAGAGACTGTGCTATGGTAACCAGACTGCTGATAAAGATATATAAATATTTGTGAATACACCCAGACACAGAACAAATGATCGTGCTCATCACACAATTATTTGTTCAAGGTGGAAATCGAACCCTCCGGCTTAGCAGTCAAGGTCTCTAACCACTAAACCAACATGCCCGTCAATAATAATAATATTGAAATACATTCCCGTGATCCCGGCCTCATCGTGCTACTGAAGACGTAGTCCATTATGGTACATACAGTACAGTATTTATAAATATCTATTTTATTTTCTAGGCCAGTAGCAGGTGTCCTGATGAGCTACTCTCGTGGATGTGCGGCAGTACTGGGACAGATGTCTGAAGGAGAGAGAGGAAACAGCGATCCTGTTACACCTCGCTCTCCTACAGACTCCGCTAGCGATGGTTATCACTCAGATAGTGATGATTCGCAGCAAATGCCTGATAGGTGAGTTCTCTTATTTACTGTAGAGATAGTGGAGACAGAGATTATTGTAAAATAGAAAAAATGTAGGCATTAATGTGGGTTCATGCCCATGTTTACTTATTAACTTAGGACATTAAAATTTCACCAAATGATCCCAATGAATCTCCAAAATGATTGCTGGAAATGCTTTGATACGCAGTACTTACTATGTTTTCCTTATATTGGAATTTAAAAAAACTATGAAAAACCTCTCCTTAGCTGAGCTCTTTACGGATTTTGACAAACTAAGGGACAAAAGTCTCAATTCTTCGATCGACTATGCAAAATTATGATTATTACAATATATCTGACGGTCTAATACACTATGTACGTACTATACACGCACGTATGTACTATGTACTAGACCGTCAGATTATTTGAACTAAAGTCTCAATACTTAATCATTTGCTGCGTTCCATAATGTACATATCGGTCTTAAAAATATAAAGATACAGAACCATTATGGAACCTTGACCAAGGTCAGATTTTGGAAGAATAAATCATGTAGATACAGCGATTCATAGAACAAAAGTAGTTATACATAGCAAGAGCAGGTTATTGTGGAAAGTCAGAATTGTATTTAATGTTATTCCAGAAGCAAACTTATATCCCAATATGCGGCGGTGTGGTCCCGAGCCGCTGATGAAACTTTGCCGGCGCTGGCAGCTCTGGACCAGCTCAGACACACACCACACCTCAAGTATAAGATAATCTTCTCTGTCGTTGTTGTAAGTATTACTTGTGAATGAGATATATAGAGATGAAATATACCTAAATAATAATTTAAGGATACTTTGGAATGTCTATACGAAACCCTCTTTTTTATCCTGTGGGTGCCATAAAAGTGGACTGAGGGAGCAAAATGCGCAGGAAGACCGCACTCCAAAGAGAAGAAAAAAGCCTATATCCAGCCAGTGGACTGTCATAGGCTGTTGATGATGATGATGAATTGGCGAAATAAAAGTTATGGTTTTGTATTTACTATATTGCTTTATCGATGCATCGAACCTTAAACTTTCTTGCAGCTGGATTATACCATAAACAAAAAGTTTGTACTTCAGATAGCATGTGTAGCCCTTCCACTAAATTTATTTTGCGAGTACATTACATAGCCTGTGAGCGTTGACAAGATCTAGTGAAGACCATTGTTGATGCTATGAAATACTTCTTTGAAATCCTGTTCCCATCTCTTGGTGTTTCTAGAGATTATCAGTTCACAATGCTTCTTCTATGCCCCCCCCCCCTCACACCTCCAAATTCATCAACTCCTCCTTCTACGTCCAGTCAGTTGCCCCCTGGAATGCCCTCCCTGCAGAAATCATGATGTCCACAAACCGCCTTGCATTCAAGAGAAAAGCGCGCGATCTTCTCCGGAATGAATTGGCAGAACAGTCACAACGCTGGTACCCGACTGAGTATTTATATTAAATTTATGTAGGTATACTTATGTATGTGTGTTTATGTATTGTGTATGTCTCTGGACTTCAATTAATTATAAATTTAATATTTTATTTTGCACCTACCGCATCATATTTCTATATCACCTGAAGGTTGACTGGGAGAGAATGCCTAATGGCATTAAGTCCGCCTTTGTACAACATGTGCATTAAGTTTTAAATAAATAAATAAATAATGGTCATTCCAACAAATTTCAAACAATGTCTGTCAATGATCTTACTAAAAAAACATGCCATTACCAAACTTGGATATCAACACCGGATTTTTTTCTCCGATTCCCTTCTTTTTCCTCAAATATTGTGTAGACATTAAAAGTAAATATTCTTTTCAGTTGTCCTTCCGTGCAGCAATTAGTCTCCGCGACCGCCGCCTAACTGAAGTGCAGGCACTTCTGGGCGTTGATGTGGAGAGTACACCCAGCGATCCCAGCTTGACTCGACTGACGGCTGCGGCGATCAGGGTGCTGCACCAGACTGCGCACAGTTTCCCATTGGGTGAAGCTGAGCGTACTGTTGTTAATCAGGTTTGTTTTTTACTTGTTTCATATCATATTGCTTAAAATAACTATGAGTTTGTATGAAATTAGTTAAAAGTACAAAAGGTTTACACCAATGTCCGTATTCTTTTCAAATCATGACAACCTGTACGGATGGCGTGGTTTAAGTGGTCGCCACGCCACTTCCTACTACGCCGAGTGTTGTGGGTTTTAACAACCCGTCATGGGACGACACTTTGTGTGATCCACAACTTGTTGTTCTGAGTCTGGGTGTTCTTTGTGTCCGTTTCATGTATGTTTGTAAAGTCCCCCGCGACACAGGAATATATTCCTAATGCGGGCGTTGTCTTTAAAAAACCTACTTTGTTATAGCGATATCAAGGTACTTCGATGTTGTCTTTATACTTTTAGTATCTCAAAAATAACAGCACGTCAATTTTTAAAATTAGCCATACCAATTATTTGACTTTCAAAATTTATTTTAGCAACATTGGGAGCAATGTTTTGAATATGGTAAAGGACATGACATGATAACACCTGAGGCGTTGCCGTTCTGAGACTCTGGTCTCACTCTAGGCACCGGCACCAGTCTCAGAACGTCTGAAGCAAACTTACTATTTATTACCAACGGTAACAGTCCATAATGGTTTCCAGGTGGTGAGCACGCTCCGTGAGTACCCATGCCTCTCTAGCTGCGGAGCTCTTCACGCTCTCGTAGCAGCTGCGTGTAGGGCTGCGTGGACCATAAGTCTGCATTCACCTCCGCTCAGAATTGACACTGACTTTACACCAGGTAAATTTAATTCAGAAGCTTTCTGGATTATTAAATATTTATTTGAGTTAGTAATGTATATGGTTAGTAGTATAATTATTTGATAAAGGACATGCAATTTTGCTAATGGAGTGCATTCCACTATATATATACATATACATATATATATATTTGAGTGCCTGGGTGGTGCAGTGATAGCGTAGGCGACTGCTGTGGTGAGATCTCGTGTTAGATTCAGGGGTGGGACCAAATGCTTCTATGATCTACAAATATTTGTTTGGGAGTTAGGGTGTTTTTTATGTATAATATGTATGTATTTACAAAAAAATCTGTCAACCTAGCTTTCATAGTACAAGCTCTGGTTAGTTTGAACTTGATGGCGTTGTGTGTCAGATGTTCAAATATTATTATTATTATTACTACATGATAGTCATTTTTTTCTATTCTCTACACGGTGCCGGCGGGTGGTGACCCTGAGTCCCACTCGCCATTAAGAATACTTAGCTTATTATTATGTATTATTTTCAGTTGTGATGAACCCAGAGAAGCATGTGCGGTTCACCTCCAGCGATGGTCGCGACCGGCGCTCCGACCTGATCAAGTCTTTCGTATGGCCGGCGCTCATGGACGGGAACAGATGCGTGTTCAGGGCGGTCGTCCTCACATGACTTGTCCGACATTCTGGCTGAATAGTCTAGAGATGGCTCCATAACTATATGCAGTGATTTGGACTATGCAGTGTTTTTTTTTGGTTTATTCTGTTTATAAATATTATATTCAGAGTTTTGATGGACTTAAACCTTGTACCGGTACTTCTTAGAAGATCAATTTGGTAACACTAATTTGTGTGTTTCGCATTGCAATATAGACTTTGTGTAAGGCCTGATTAAAGATGGCTATGGTTGATTTTTATAAAATATTATTATTTAATATGACTTTATTGCAATGAATTATCAAACAAAGTTTAAGGGGATGATTATTTAACTGAAAATGACTGAAATAAAGAGAAATTGATTCTTGAATTGATGTGGTTTTCTGGTTTCAGTAATATAATAGCAACAGTACCGATTAATGAATTAATGAACACTTATTTTAACTTATTTCAATTCTGACTTATCAAGTGTATTGTAAATAAACCAAAACGTAAAATTTGTGAGGGTAAATGTATGTATGGGTGTTACTAAATCTCGCCAGAACGGCGGTACGGCTTCTACATATCATCAATTAGGATATCTTCTTCGTTGTTGGTTAATAACGAAACGAGAAAGGGATCTGTTGAAGATAGATGTTGTGTAGAAAACAAATCTTGACGTTGATATCGAAAGTGATATCTAAAATCTAAAGATTTTAGTTAATTTTTAATTTGCGATGTTTCTTTTTTGGATATTTTTCTACGCTCACAGCAATTGTGAACGGTGTAAAGTATTCAGTTTTAAATAATGACGAACTAGAGTTTTAAGAGAACATTTTAAAATTCTTTTGGTAAATTATCAATTTAAATATATTACATCCACATTTAAGTACTAAAAAATTAAGATGGAGAAATAGAGAAGAGTTCAAAAACTATATGGGTAATCACACAATTTGAAAGCCACATTACCTTGGGAGAGCCATGCTTTGCCATATAAGGACCAGGCTCGATTTGCTTTTCACGCAGTGAGGTTACCGAAGTCAAAAAACTCTGACCTTGTTTAGGGGGGGAGGGAGGGGGAGGTGAGTGGTGACTTGACACCTTCAAGACACCTTTTTTTTTTGGATTGTCCCTTCAAGATTGTCCCTTGGATTAGTCCCTTCAAGACACCTATAGGACGTACCCAAAGGCTAGAAGAGTTTACAACATTCTAAGTCATCGCCAGTCAAGAACTTACATCTTAATATCCGTCAGTTTCCCGGACCCTAACAACTTCCTTTTCGTTATGCTAAGCAAAAGTAAACTGCTTTAGCGTAATAAAAACTGGTATTGCAAATGAGATCTTGCCTTTCTGTCTCAAATCTTGGATAGCTCTAGAGGGCACCACAGGAATACATTTTCACGTCACGTTGTATATACTTTTAGAAGTCAAAGGACACGGGGAATATTCTAGAATTATATCCTACAATGAGTCTGTAACATAGTAGTGATAATTTAAAAAAGTTAAGTTCCCGGAACGTATGACTAATTCTTTGATAAGGTGAATGCCAAAAACAATGACTCACCGGATAGTAATGTAGCTTCTACAGGCTTTAATTAATAACAACAAACATTAAAACTGGTTTTAATATTCTTATTACGTAGTAACGTTAATATCTTTCTGATGGAATACACAAAATGTGTCTTACACAACCATATTTTGCAAAATAATTTCTTATCGTCAACCATTCGTGTTACTTTGGCATGGAATCACCAATTTGGTATACGTAGTAGCAAATCTGTCACCTATAGGTAATAATATAGATACTTCCAATTAGATAAAGTCATTACGATAAAACATGACGTGTTCACGAAAACATTACATTATAACGTTTATTCACAACGATTTACTGAATTTTTCTACATTCGTGTACAAAATATTCTTAAGCTAAGTTAATCTAGAAGTAAGATATTTAATAAATTATTATGTAACTTTAATGTATTTATAATAAAAAATATGAAGCCGCCATTTTGTTTTGATATATCACACATGATTCACCCAAAACCATGTGCTAAGTTAACGATAAGATTATGATAAAAACTTGATATATAAATGTGCACTCATTTTAGACTCAGTATCGTTTGAAATATTGTGAAAAAATGAGTTATCCTGGACCGTACCGACCTCCTCTATCAGGCTGGGGACCACCACCACCACCGACAGACCAGCATCATCCGCCTTATTACTTTCCACAACACCAGGGACAGTATCCACCACACCAGGGACAGTATCCACCACCTCCACCAGATGGTGGAGCAGTCACAGCTCATCCTCCATACCAGTACTACTTCCCTGGTACTATGATGATACCAGTTCCTGTTGCACCAATGCCCGCGCCTCCTACAGATCAATTTGGACAAACAAATACCTACATCACGAATCACATCTACCAAGGACAGCCAGATTCCGTTCTGGTGGCAGAATCTTCAGGAGAATTAGACTGGGTCCCGACGACCTCAACACTTGCAAACTCACTAACCGGAAGAGCTGTTGCTGGAGGACATGAGGGCTGGGATGGAAGTCCCCTGTGGATAATTAGGGGTTGGCATAATGGCGATTTAATTCCTGGGAAGTTGTCTGTAAGGCATAACGCAGCTTCTATAGCGTATAATGGTAAAGAAGTGCCAGTTCAAAATATCGAAGTTCTTTGCGCTAAGCCGGAGACTTTGCGATGGGTTCCAGCTTCGAACGGCAACGTACCTCCGAGCGCTATTGCGGGTGGAAGAACAGCATCAGGGGAGACTCTCTATATCGGTAGAGCACGATACCAGTTGTCTGTGACTCCAGGAAAAGTGCATCCAAGTCAAAATTCGTGCTACATCGCGTTTGCTGGAACTGAAGTGGCCCATAAGATGTATGATGTGTTGTGCACGGTTAGCTGAATATTGGGTCAGATTCTGATGATATTCTTTCTGTTTTGGACTGTGATAAAAAAGGATATTAAGTAACTAATGATGGTGCAGTAGGTAGACTACTGTAGTGTGCTTGATTACCACTTGATTTCCCATAGGGTCAAGCGTTAGTGTGATGTAAAGACACTTATTCATGTATTGTGTATCGTATGGTGAGCGTTTGTGAAGTCCTGTGCGTTAAAGTTAGCTTAACGCTTAAACTCCAACAATTACTTGTTTTTTGTCTCGTTGAATGTTTGTGTCAGCAATTTCAGTTTTGAATAATTCTTCACTTTTAACTTATTTCTTTTCAATTGTGAATTGTTTTGTATCTCATGCATAAATATAATTCAGCATTGGCAACTGTCCTGAGATACTGAGTAATTTAAATCCAGCAATGTCGAGAATCTAAATTCTAACAGTTTATTTTAGAACTTAAGTTAGATTTTAAAAGATTTTTGCGTTACTAAATAGAAGTAGAAAAAAATAATTATAATAATTATCCAAGTCATAGATAATACTCGATATTTTTATTGTCATAATATCTTATTGACTCACTGTTGATAATTTATATTAACTTACAGCCGAAGGTAGATTCCCCTTATAATATTGTAAAGTAAGCCTCATTCTTCACAAACTAGTTACCTAAATCTCGGCACTTGAAGATATAAGCGTAAAAATAAACTGTTTTCTATAAAACTGTATTTTCTTTTGTTGTCTCACATGTCCGTGTAAGTAGGTTGTCGATATCTTATCGATAAGTGTATCGAATATAAGATAAGAGTTCTGCGAACACAAAGAATTATAAAAAAAAAATTACTTTGTTTATCAATTTCACAGATTTCATAATTTCTGTATTTAACGATGAAAGATTATTTCATTGATATTTCAACGCGTTCAAACGCGTACCCATAGAACATTGATATGTCTAGTTGTGTAAACGCTAAAACTTATAACCCTGAAAAAGTTTGTACGATGACGTCACCTTTTATGACTGCTACCCGCGACTTCTTTCGCGTGGAATTTGATAAGCGCTGCCGTAGTGGGTTCGTTTCCCGGACCGAGAAAATATTAAAGGGTATTTCTGAGAGGAAAAATAGCCTAAGTTGCTCCTTATATACATAGACAGCTACCTGGTAGTAAAATATTATCAAAATCGGTCATCCCATTTAGAAGATTACCCGGAACAAACAGACAGACAGATAGACAAACAAAACTTAGTTTAATTTTTGTTTGTAATCGTGCAAATAACCGTTTGATTATGAAAAAAAAACATTATTTTGACATTACAAACAGACACTTCTATTTTATTTATTTGTAAAGATGTTGAAAGGCTACACCAAAATAAAGCAACCGTATTTTGTAGAATCAAACATAATGATATCACCTCGCCAATTGACTCTCATTCTTTTAACAAATATCCAGCTACAGCTATCACAAGCGATTTTGAACCTTAAAACTAAGTTATAGTATTTATTGTGGATGTAACAGTTGTTATGTACAGTGTGTTATGCAGTTACAGGTATATATGTGTGTTAACTAATGACTCTATTTGACCTCCTCAAGTACGTGTGTGAGAGTCTGCACAGGGCCTGAGGATCGTGAGTCACTCTTTGTTTTTGCCGTTTTGTTTGCAATAAGTGAAAGTACTTATTTTTTCAAACTTTTTTATTTCTGTTATTCGAAGTAATCACCCATGCAATCGACGCATCATTGCCAACGCATTGGCAGTTTATTCATGCCCTTCGTATATATATATATATATATATATAGAGTAAACGTCTACCAAAAAGCGAAAGGAACTTCGTTCCGATCAGGGTCCATAGACCCCTCACGCCGTTTTAGAACGAAGTTCCTTATCGCGCGTTACACGTTCTGAGCGGATACCGCGGAGCTGGGAACACTTCTTGCGTCGTACGTCCACCAAAAAGCGAAAGGACCTTCCTTCTGACCAGGGGACCACAGACCCCCACGCCGTTTTTTTGTATCGTTTTTGTGCTCTACCTAGTTTGGGACCAGATTGCAGTGTATGAAACGTGTAAAGTTTTTATTATGATTAAATTAATCTTGATTGAAACACCTTCCTTATTATTTCTGAGATACGTGAGTGGCATTCCTATCCTAATCTCGGTCTCGGAATCCCAATCGCTAATCTCACTGACTTCATGAAAAGCAAAGAAAGAATAGCTTAACACCGATTTTCTGTGGGGTCAATCCGGTTGAGCCTGCCCATTTCTGTTGAAGCATGGCTCTCCCACCGTGGGTTCTATTCTGGTCTATAACCGACCGTTCAGAAAAACGATGTGACATATTTTTATCACTGGATTTTACGCTGTAGATAAATACAAACACAAACAAGCTGTGTATCTTAAAACTGCATAGTTAAGCAAGAGGAGACTTTTCAGGGCTTAGCTCGGAGGGCACTTGTTTTAAAAATACTTGATATAATAAATCCGTGTTAATGGATTAAGAATATGGAGTGTCGCCAAACTTATTCATCCCATAGGTGTCGTAAGAGCCGACTAAGGGAGCAAACTACGCAGGACTGCAAAGAGAAGTAAAACTTCATATAAACCCTATAGCAACCAGCTGCCAGCGTGGTATAGTAGGCCAAAACCTCCATTCTAAGGAGAGGCCTATGTCCAGCAGTGGACTGTTAAATGGGGCTGTGCTAATCATTTAGCATCAGATGACCTTCTCGTTTACCCACTACACAATAAAAAACTCATCGGTTTACATACAGAATATGGACACCTTCAATGTAGTATCGTGGTATGTGATAATACATAGCAAAAATAAAAGATAAAAATGCCAGCAATCGACGGGTAGATGAAAAATCTTTAACCTCACGGATTCGACGACAGCGGGCATGCACCACTGCGTCATCTAGGCCGTGACCACAGCCAGTAAAACCTGATCGAAACGTCAAGCAATACACATAACATATATTTATGTAGTTAATAATTGAAGATCAAATTTCTAGTACTAAAAATTCGTTCAAAATTCAGTTCTGATCTATTTTGGATCTCATAAATAGCAATAAGGTATTCTCGTAGTAAAGTATTACAAGGACTAGCAGAATACCAATTCAACTTTCGGTCACAATACGATATAATCACATTACAGTCAACGTTGGATATTTAGTATTACTTTACTACGAAAATACCTTTTATAACATTTCTGAGATCGCGAGTAGATCGGAATTTAATTTTTAACGAATTTTTATTACGAGAATTGACGTTCTACTTCTAGGTATATAATTACATAAAAGTTAGTATAAACTCTGCACAAATAGTTAGTCCAAGAATCAAAACGCAACCTACCTATACTAATTACTATATACCTACCAGTCGTGATGTCCAATTAACTAAATTGAGTCCACTTGTCGCCATACTCATAGAGACAGTGTTGCACGAGGTTTGAGAGGAACCACAACGATTAATAAAACACACTCGTAAAGCCGTATTTATCTTTATTTCTTTCTTCGTAACTGTGTAGTGTGAAGTGAATTTCGTAGTACGAAATATGAGTTTTAGTCGTGAATGAGTGAAATTGTCATGGTGAGTTATTGCCGGATGTTTTTTCTGTTTCCATGTGGTGACGGATTAAGAATACGGAGTGTCACCACCCCTATTCAGCCCGTAGGTGTCGTAAGAGCCCACTAAGGGAGCAAACTACGCAGGACAACAGCACTGCAGAGAGAAGGAAAACTTGACACAAACCCTATACCAAACCGTCTTTCCAGCGTGGTATAGTAGGCCAAAACTTCCTTTTTAAGGAGAGGCCTATGTCCAGCAGTGGACTATTATAGACTGTTGATGTGATGTGATGGTGTTTTTTCTGTAAGTGTGTGTAACTATGTAGATATGACCCCGTCCTCTATTTGAGCTTTTATTTTCATATTTATCAATTTTAAGATTATTGTAGTGACCTTTCGTGGTTAATCTCCGTATGTTTGCATCCACACTTCCACACTTATATTATACTTGTTTGTTTGTTACGCCTTTACGCGAAAACCACTGAACCGATTTTAAAAATTCTTTCACCAATGCAAAGCTACATTATCAGCTACAGCTAAAGTAACAGGCTACTTTTTACCATGATAACCGACGTACACGAGGGCGGAGCCGCGGGCAATAGCTAGTAATTATTTTATATGCAGTATGGTATTTGATCATCGTAAATCTGAGTGCGTAAATCTCTGTAAATCGAATTGTACAGGTTCATCAACAGCCTATAACAGTCCACTGCTGGACATAGGCCTCTCCTTAGAAAGGAGGGTTTGGCCTACTATACCACGCTGGCCAGACGGGTTGGTGTAGGGTTTGTTTGAACTTTTCCTTCTCTCTGCAGTGCTGTTGTCCTGCGTAGTTAGCTCCCTTAGTCGGCTCTTGATACCCACGGGATGAATAGGTGTGGTGACATTCCGTATTCTTAATCCGTCACAGTACAGGTTACTTACTCGATATTTTGAAAACTCATTTAATTTATATAAATTTACAAAACAAAATTTGGTCGAGACCATTACCACAGAGATATTTCTGCAACAATTTACGTAAATGTGTTAAATATGTATCATTTGGTTCATAATAAGCAACACAAATAATAAGTTATACCAAGTTCCTGTAATCACTTCGCGATTTGCTTGTTAAGTCGTGTCTTGTATATTTCCTAAGACCGCTGCAGAATATTAAACCTAATTCGTTCGTGAATGCTGTTTTAAATGCGAATTTTGTAAGTAAATACTCATATTTCGGTAAAAGTTCGATATATAGCGCTTTACATGTGCACAAGTTACCTAGCTCGGGAGGTCTGCTGTAAACTAGGAATATTAGCACTGTTATATGTCAAGTGGTGAATGGCGTCAGAAGAGCTCCGTGGCCCGGGATGAATCCTTTAGTGAAAGCTAGCTAGTGTAGTGAGTATTTTTAGGTATCGGGCACTACTTACCAGAAGCTGGGTCACACGTGGGATTGCAAAGATTGTGGTTTGAAAAAAGTTTGACTTTTCGTCCAATGGTTTGAGATGCTGACATTAAAATCCATCTACATAAGTTTTTTTTAGATTATTGACAAGAGCAGAGACATTACTAATTCTCAGAGCTTTGAAAAGCCAAATTACTAAAATTGTGACGTAAATCTTCTTTAGGGAGTCTCTTATTTCGTTTTCATGCTAAATCTATTAAGAATGTTACTGAACTTTGTCTAGGTAATGGAGAAACAAGAGAAGAAGTATAAAAGAATAGAGGAACTGGACGAAGATGGCGTCGCAACGCTACTGCAGCGGTGGGAGTTGGACGAGTTTGTGGAATTCACGAGAGAGAGAAAGATCGACGGAAGAAGATTACTTGTAAGAGAAAAGTAGTTAATGCATATTTATATATATATCAGGTACTATATCATAACACATTACTGTAAGTCCAATTGACGGTCTACACAGTAACGTGGACTCTCCGGGGACTCTGGTGGACTTCTTTTCTAGGGTGTACCCTAATCCCTTTCAATAGACTCACATGTGACGGAACATCGTGTGGTTTAATCAGTTTGATTCAGACCTTCTACACGAAAAAAAAAATCACAGCATACACTAAAGATTCGAATATTCCGTTTTGTTCCATCGGCCACTATGACGGCCGGATGACGAAGTGGTTTGTGTAACGGACTGATACGCCAAAGAGTGTGAGTGCGATTCCCGCCCAAGCCAAACATTTGTGTACTACTGTGTACAAATTTGGTCTGGGTGTTTCTAAATATAATGTGTATGTATTTCCAAAAAAATATACTTATGTATTTATATCAGTTGTCAAGTAACCTATAGTACAAGCTGCTTTGTTTGCGACTAGATCGCGTTGTGTGAATGTGGTAGAATATTATTATTATTATCATGACTTAAACTGTGATTGCATAGCCTTTTATAACATAAGTCGGTATAATAATAACTTCACACAACTCAATCTGGTTCCAAACTGGGCAGAGTCTGTACTGTGGTAACCAATCTGCTGATAAACTTATTACAGAACAAATGATCGTAGTCATTACACAATATTCATCAAGAGTCCCGTCGATACAGAATATATGAATATATGTGTACTGGATCCTTATAGTTTAATGTACGAATTAATAATTCAAAATTCTTAATGTTCAATAACGTATTCCAAGGTTACTACCTTGGAATACGTTATTCGAATACGATAATTTTTGGAATTGGAATACGATAATTTTTTACATAACTTTTAACTTTATAATACATATTGTTAAAAAAATATAGCATTTTGCACTTTTAAATATAAACATTAAGTGTTCCAAATAACATATGATATGTTTAAAAAGGTAGTTAATTTATACATATAACTGGATATAATATGCCTGTTATTGCATTTCATGTCATACAGGTTGATACATTAAATACACTTTGCATTTTGCACACCGTTTAATAAGATCAATTGGGTCGGATTAATTTGACAAAGGTCAGTGGTCATGTAACATCTGTTCATTAATAATAATAACTTCACACATGCCATACACTGATCCCGTCCTATCCCGCCGTCTGATCCCCAACTAGTAGCAGTAGCAGAGCATGTACTATGGTAACCAGATAGCTGATGAACACACTTCTATATATCTTAATACGTACATATTTTAGAATGCCAACCCGTCTGGCCAGCGTGATATAGTAGGCCAAAACCTCCTTTCTAAGGAGAGGCCTATGTCTAGCAGTGGACTATTAAAGGCTGTTGATGATGTGATGTGATGATATATATATATATATTATTCTAAAATATGTATGTATATATTAGAGAAGAATAAAATAACCCGTCTGGCAATCGTAGTTTAGTAGGGCAATACTACCTTTCTAAGGAGCAGTGGAGTGTTGATGATGATGATATAGATTAATATACCCAGACACAGAACAAATGGTCGTGTCTTCACACAATAAGTAGTTATCCTGTGTGGGAATCGAACCCACGACATCTGGCTTAGCAGTTACGATCACTAACCACTAGACCGATGTTTATGTCATAACTTCCTTTTTATTTTAGGAAGTTACCGAAGGTATAGTTAAACTCTGGAAACCGAAAATCAACGCCAAAAAGTTCATTAAATTCATTGAGGAAATAAGACTTAAACCTTATGAATATTTGGACAGCCAAGATAAAAATGCTGCTAAAGAAGAATTCAATAAAGATAATGAAATAAATAAGGAACAAATTGAAACAGAAATAAGAAAAGAACAAGATAATTTTGACATAGACAGCCAATATCAAACAATACCTATCAGAAAGAAAGAAGAACGTTCCCACACTTCGGCAATGAGTACAGTAGAAGAACTGATAAGAAGAATCGTACCTGCTAAGAGTTTTCTCTATAGACACCAACAGAGAACTGACAAATTTCCATCCTATTTACCTATGGATGCTGGAGCGCCAAAGAAAAAGAAATTCTTCAGATTAAGTTCATATGAATATCCATTCCTAGATATCAAATCCAGATTTTCCAAACAAGAAACCTCAAATGATAGAGGATATTACTCTATGAAAACAAATAGCAGGCACTACATAGCTAGACCTTATAAAAATTCAGAATCTAAAACCAAATACAAGTCTCTATCGACTCCTGAAGAACTCACTGAAAAATACCCAGACGATCACTTTTACGAAGATTTATGTTACAATGAAGTCGATAATGTGGCGGAAAAACCTGTCGAAACAAGAGTAGTTAGTGTTAAGCCCTGTATTGTAAAGATTCAGGAACTTTTCCAATCTTTTAAAGTCCCATTCTTTAAAAGGCCAGATATGATAGAAGAGAGGAAAGTAGAAGAGATTGCGAAGGATACTAATTTATATGAGAATACTGATGGTACTGCTAATATGTATGATTCTGTACATGTTAATAGGCAGGCTGATGTAGAATGTCAAACGATACAGGTGAGTCACATTTGTTTACACAAGAATTACGTTTTGTTTTAATATGTATGTGAATGATTCATGTTTTATCATTTATCGGTTAAATGGTATTGTTACGAGCGGGGTATAAAATAAATAAAAGTTGTCGGTTAATTACTTTATTTCACTGTATTTACAAACACTCACTACTAGAAATCACTATTTATCTTGTTAGTCGCACTAGAAATTCACTCCGATGTTAATTAGCTGTGTCGTAAAACGAAACTGGCTATTATTGCGCTGTTGAATTTTACTAGAAAGATCCTAATATTCGACAGTCCGTGCCAAATAAACACAAATTTTCCAGAATCAGTCACGCGTGCCATCTAGCGCTGTAAGGATCAGAACTACTCGTATTAACCACAATCTTAATAGACGTACTTTAGTAGATACTAGATGGCGCTGTAATCCACATTTCATAAACTCGAACCATTTAATCCTATGGCGCAACAGTATGAATTACTACTTAAGTAACTACAGAGAACATAAAAATTAAGCTGGTTTATAATCCCTAGGAGGGTTGTGTGGCAGTTGTGTGGAAATAGGTAGACATACGGCGATAAACGAAACCGGTGTGCAAGCTTTTGAAATTGCGCTCCATTGAAAATAGTTTTAGAAATGGTATTTTTTTTTATGGTATAGGAGACAAACGAGCAGACGGGTCACCCTATGGTAAGCAACGACCGCCGCCCATGGACACCTGCAACTCAAAAGACACAAGTGCGTTGCTGCCCTTGGAGTCCCTGCCGCTCGAGTGGAGAGTAATAACAATAATTAATAGCCCCGAGGCTAGGCGCTGTAATTCAGGCACGACCAAGACAAAGACATCAACTGGCGTATATAATAGATACTATTGTATCCGATATATTTTTAGGACACGTATTTAGAGCTACTTTGGCCAAACCAAACATTTAATTGTATTTTTTCTTCACTGTACTACTAAAAAAAAAATTGGAATGAATTTGGTTATGCATAAAAATGGGTTTCCAGACAACCAAAAACTCATCTTACCTTAAGAATTTCGTGTTTTCGGTTTGACTGTTTAATTTTGACGAAAGAAAAACTTCTTCTATAGCCGGATGAATAGTGGTTTACTATTAACAATTTCACATTAGTTTCTATAAAAATACTGATGAGACACACCTCGGGTACAATATCTCAAAAATCTTTGATATTCTGTGATAAGATTACAATATTTAGTGTTACTCGTATTTAGATACTGTTCTATTAAAACAAATTGCGTTAGTTACGCCTTGTTTTATGACTATTTAGTAGGACGTGTCATTATTAATCTAATGGTTATTCATTACGTATCGAAATTAATATTTTTCGATTGCTTTTAGTATATCAAAGAATAGTGTCAGACAGAGACTGAACTTCGTTAAATTCATAAAATTAAACATTTTATTCACAAATACGAAAAATGTTCTGAAAATATAACTACCCACACTTTTTTGCTTTTATAAATTTAGATGTTTTTATTCCTCTGGAAGTATTTTTAACCGACCTTTTTTAGATAGTCCTTTTTTGATGTTTATTATTTTAAGGTTTTGATTTATGATCTTTATCTGCTCACAGCAATGACTTATACTTATTGGAAACCTAAACATACATTGTAATTTTCAGCAATATTTATATAAAACGTAACAGGCATTAAAAAAAACATTTTACAACAAACATTCCACTTTGCATTTTAGTGCTGTTGGACGCCATCTATGAACTTTTTTGTGAATTTCAGACTAAGTTGCCCGTGGAGGACTATCTCGAACCAGTTCAGTTAAGCAAGGATTACTGCGATGTCAACTACAAGCAAAAGGAAGAGTCGCTTATGGGATACATACTCAGCATTTTTGAGAACCGATTCGGGATAAGGCGTGGTAAGTGTAAGAAGTGATTAAACTAAGCCGTTTTAGTTTCAAAGCAGATTAATAGATGGCGTTTTAATAAAAATAAAAAAACAGTTACTAAAAAGTATTCAAGGAGGAACGCAAATATAAGTGATACCATTTTCAAGATATATTTCCAATTCTCTAAGTGACCGGTTGGTGGCAATGTAACGGGATCAAATTATAGGTGACAAAATACGAATATTTAACAGCCCTCTGCCTACTCCTTCGGGCACAAAGGTGTGAGTGTATCGTAATTTGAAGGCAGAAAGCTATGGTGTCAAAAACTTTTCCAAAAATTAAGCAAAATAAAAGTCAATACTGTATCTTATCCTTGTAGTGACGGTTTAAGAATACGGAATGTCACCACCCCTATTCATCCCGTGGGTGTCGTAAGAGCCGACTTAGGGAGCAAACTACGCAATACAACAGCACTGCAAAGAGAATGGAAACTTGACACAAACCCTATACCAACCCGTCTGGCCAGCGTGGTAGAGTAGGCCAAAACCTCGTTTCTAAGGAGAGGCCTATGTCCAGCAGTGGACTATATAGGCTGTTGATGATGATGACTGTATCTTAACCTTTTTTTAAGAAGATGAGCCATAAAACATTTAACCTGCCGTCTTTCTGATTAATAAGTTAATGAAGTAAGTTTTATATTTGATTTTAAGCAAATTCCGAGTTTTGCTGTCGATATGTACTTATGTGTTTTGAAGATTTAGGTAGGCATTTATACCCATCAATTCCCATCCAGCCCTTTCTAGATAGAAAATAAAAGTAAATAAACGTAGACATTTGTCGTTGGTAGACAATAATAAATTCGAAGGACACGAGGACAGAGCACTTTCTCATCGTTAAGAGTTGTTTTGTTTGACGCATATGCGACAATGCAACACGAATTAGGGATGTATGTCGGTTGATTGTTATATCGACTATCGATAATTTTTATAAGACATTCGTTATAACACTAAGCGTGCTGATTGAAGTTCAGTATAATTACATATAATTACATTAACATTTAAACTTAGGTTGTTTAGGTTTCCTTTCTAGGGTATACCTGGTTCCCCGGCTATTAGTACCCGGCGACGGCGTGCGGTTTTAGTCGGTTCGAGTCCGACATGCCACCGACAGGTTGTATCCGAGGGGATTTCCGCACGGAAAAAAAAAAAAAAAAAAGCGGTTGTTTAGGTTTGTATTGTGACAAGTTATGTAATAGGTAAAGTAGTTTTGTTTTATAATATTAATATTTTTCAAACTTTCATAAAGTGTTTTGTTACCAAATATATGGATATTTTCAAGTACTGCTGAAACAGGTACACATTTCATAACCATTGTCATTATAACGCATTAAAATTCGTTAAATTAAGGCGTCTTAGCGGCAGTTCGCAATATCTGTGTCTACTCATTTTATATCTAATAGTACATGACTTTACCCTGGTAGTGGCATACTTCAGCAAGCGCAGGCGACTCTACTCCACATTTTAAAGCGTTTTTTTTTTTTAATATTATCAAATTATATTCTTCTTTATAATGTGTTGGAGACATAACCGCTTCGACACGCCACATGTGTAAAAAAATCTATCTTTACATTCTATCGACTTTTTCCTGCCCTATTAGACAGTGATGAAAACAAAAACAAAACAAAAATGAGTGGTAAGTATGATACAATTATTTTTGTTTACTTCTTGCGAGTGTTGTGCTAGTGACGGCTGCGTTCAATACAAGTAACTTAATAAACAACTAATAAACTAAATTATTACATTTGTTGGTGAAGTAAATAGTGAGTAGGGAAAAGCAATGAATATGAACACTTATTATTTTACAAAAAATAAGTAAAGTGAAATTTTGTTTAAAGTCTAAAGTGTGTGTATTTAAATAAAAATTAGCGATACCGTTAATAGAAATGCGGTGCAAAATATTTTATATGTTTTTATTGTTATCGTTAGGAAACCGCCAAGGGTTACTTTATCAAAGCTTACGGTGATGTGGTGTTCGGAATAAAACCGACTAAGACCACAAGGTATGCCGTCGGATGTGAGTCAAGGCACAGACGTACGGAACGCAGTCACAGTTTGCTATTATTTTACGTTGTACCTTTGAGTTTATAGGTTACATGAATCACAGAACAAAAGCTCTAAAAAGGATTTCCTCTGAAAACATAATTTTCACAATGTTTTTCATTAAGTACCTACGTATTTTTTTTTACTTTAAATAGGTCATCAATGACCTCACCCTTTGATCTTTGGCGGTCCTTTATAGCGGTTCCTATGTAATATATGAACACTTTCTAATTCAAAAGTATAATTGGGAGAATTAATAGGATTAGTGGTAGGTGCTATAAATAGCATGCTCTCATCATATCTGTGAAGTCATGTACCCATAGATCTTAATACCAACTGTCTGTGTTTAATGGGATTGTCTCCATTTGTGACACTATAGTGTTTAGCTGGTGAGTCAGTCAGCAATGAATCACTTTTTAGCATATTATCCGAATTGGTTTTAATAAGACTTGCTCAAATTTAAACAGTAATATTCGATAGTTCTATTATTGTACTAAATGATACGAGTAAATATTGATTTAATGACAGATTAGCATTTCGTATTTTCGGCTCTATAAATGCAGATAGATCTATACAAATAAATAAAATTGGAGTGTCTGTTTGTAATATTAAAATAACCGCTTTTTACTAAATGCATATGTATGTTTACACGGTACATATGCCAAAATATCATTTTTTACAATTTTTGTCTGTCTGTCTGTCTGTTTGTTCCGGGTAATCTCTAGAATTTGAAATTACCGATTTCGACAAGACTTTCACTGGCAGATAGCTGATGACATAAGGAGTAACTTAGGCTACTTTTTTTAGACTAGCTTCGTCCCGCGGCGTTGCCCGCGGTTATAACAACAAACGCGGGTAACACCGCGGGTCTCAGCTAGTTAATAAATAAAAAAGATGACTTGTGCAAAATACCAAGGCATATGTACTGAATTACTGAAGCATATGTGATTATCCAACTAGTTACTTTTTAGTTATTATTGAATTAAATAATCATCATTAAAGACTATAAAATAATAATAATAAAAAAACAAGTTGAAAAAAACAAATATACACGCTCTTGTAGAAAATGCTTTTAAAGATATTTTACAATTTTCGTCACGCTTTTTCACAATAAAATGTTTTTTTCTTAATCACTCAATGTTTTTTTGATGGTATAGCAAAATTACTTTCTACTTTTAGTTAGCTAGTTACAAAAGCGTGTTTTTTTATTTATTTTACACAAAATACATTAATAACGGAAAAGATTCAATCTAACAATGAATTAATAGTCTAAACGAAGTTTTTATCATAATTAATCTGAGAATAATGTTCATCATCAACAGTTTCTAATAGTCCACTGCTGGACATAGGCCTCTCCTTAGAAATAAGTATGTTAAAGCTAATGATTTTTATCAGTATTTGTCTAACACTCCAATTAGTGATAATGAATGACCTTGATTATCGATAATAGGCGTTAGCTGCAGTATTGATCATACTCTTAGGTGATACAAGAACAATTGTCTATAATGTATAGATGTATTGGGATTCATTGGTGTAAACAATAGTGAAAAAACTGGATAGAAAACTGACTTGAAGTGGTGGTGATAATGTGCTGGTGGTTAAAAATGGGTATTCCCCTAATGTACAATTTGGGGGAAAGAGTCGGCAACAGTGTTGTGGACCTCTTCTTCCATGTAATACACTGCCTGACTGATGTTGTCGCAGGTGAGAAAACTGTGGTTTAATTATTTATCGAAACGTCAGAACATTACATCACACATCAGATCAACAGCCTCTGTTTAGAAAGGAGGTTTTGGCCTACTATACAACGCTGGCCAGACTGCGCCAGTTGGTGTAGGGTTTGTTTCAACTTTTCCTTCTCTTAGCAGTGCTGTTTTTCCTCCCTTAGTCGGCTCTTATGACACCCACTGGATGAAAGGGGATGGTGACACTCCATGTACTTAATCCGTCACCACACGGAATACCGTCAGAACAAAATAAATGAAGATATTAACGTTGTAATATTATTGAATAGATAGAACTGTTTAGAACAGGGAATTTTATATTTGTCTCTCTTTAATCAGTACCGACGGTTGGGCAATAAACCTGTCTTTCTGGACTTACTGATATTTATATTTACCTTGTCCAGACATGTCTTTGTGTAATATTACCAACCTTGGGAGAGCTACGAGTATGCTTCAGCACAAATGCCCTCACAGAAAACTGGTGTTAAGCAGGTCCTTCGTTGCTTTCCACCGAGTGAGTGAAGTTAGCGGAGCCCAAACCCTGATCCTCTTACGGTCTATGCTTAGACTATTTCTAATGATGTTGTTTTCTGTTTTAGAAACACACGACGACAGTCCATCATCAGATTCAGAATGTGAAAATAAAGTGGAGAACTCGCCCAGTGAGGAAGGTTGCAAATGGCCAGAAGACTGCAAACAGGGCCGCACAAATATGGCAGATAGACCCCTGCCCGTGCCAGTCGAAAATGAGCCTTATTACATGAATATAGATAGAGGGGAGGCGCAAAATCTCTTGAAAGGACAACCCGATGGCACGTTTGTGTTAAGGCCAAGTAGTCAGGTATGTGTTGTAGCTGTTTATGTACCACTAGTTGACTCGCGTATTTTCGTCTGCGTCTTTTAAAAGGATTAAATTTTCCCCGTTTTTGCAACATTCTCTATTGGTGCTCCGCTGCTATTGGTCTTAGCGTGATGATATATATTCTATAGCCTTCCTCCATAAATGGGCTATCTAACATTGAAAGATTTTTTCAAATCGGACCAGTAGTTTCTGAGATTAGCGCGTTCAAACAAACAAACTCTTCAGCTTTATAATATTAGTGTAGATTAAAATGTCAAATAAACTAATGCAAAACCCTCACATGTAATTTATCAAAAATCTGTTCTTCTTTGCAATTCATGATTAAATATCAAAGCGTAACATGTGCACTATCTTCACTAATTGTATAAACCAGAACAGTTTGTTTGGATAAACGCGCTAATCTCTAGAACTACTGGATTGAAAATGATAGCCCATTTATCGAGGAGCCTTCCTCTATATAGGCTATATAATATTACGCTACGACCAATAGGAGTCGACCAGCAATAAATATGTTTCAAAAAACGGGGAAAAGTTTTTCCTATTGTCAACTAGTCTTATAATATAATATAAACAAATAAATATCATCCTTGCCATCAATAACCGCTTACCACCAGACAGCCACTTAAATCCTCACATTTGACTTATGATTTTCAGTCTGACCACGCCTACACTCTTAGCGTGTCCTGCGCAAACGCAGTCCACAACGTTGGCGTCCGACGGCGGCCAGACGGTCGGCTGGCGCTCGGCTTCCCTCGTCGTGGTGAACACAGCTTCGCAACCGTGACGTCATTACTACGTCACCATAGAAAGCGACGGCTGCTCCTCGTCGCTGGTGGTGACGTTATCGGTGCCACAACCTTGAACGAATCCCCACATTACTACCAGAGTCCGAGTAGTATTCCTGTGCCAGTCGCAAAAGAGTAATATTCCTGAATAGGTGAGGATCTGAACGCTAATATGTTTGAAAAGTAAAAAGAATGTAAGCAATATGCCATCATTCACCAGCTGGTCAATGCAAAATACCTGGTCTGACTTACTCAATTGTTTATTTGCATTCCACAACGCGTACTTGGGTGGTGGGTTTATGTTAAACCTTTATGGACCCTGTCGGGCGCAGCTAAATACATTTCTCATCATCACATCAACAGCCTATAATAGCCTCTCCTTAGGAAGGAGGTTTTGGCCTACTATACCACGCTGGCCAGACGGATTGGTATAGGGTTTGTTTCAAGTTTTCCTTCTCTATGTAGTGCTGTTGTCTTAGTTAGTTTGCTCCCTTAGTCGGCTCACACACACAAGGGATGAATAGGGGTGGTGACACTTTGTATTCACCGTCACCACACGGACAAAAATACATTTAAAATAAGTCAAAAAACTGAATAAAATTAATGCACTAAAATTTGTATTAGATTACATGTGTGTCTTTTCTATTAAGTATATTGTTTTACGTTTATATGTTAGGAATTGTAATTAACTCGTTTCTTTCCTCATACTTTTGCAGATTGTTATTGTTTCTAAACAATTCTGCTTTATTATTTTCAATTTTTCCAGTAAAAGTTCATTCAGACACTTTCTAGTAATGACCGGGTATTTCCTTTACCGTGCGTATATTTGAACATATCCTTTCAAAGTTACAAACCCGCGAAACAATTTGCCTAGATCTTCTCTAATCATTTTATTTTAATTATTACAGAAAACCTAAACCAGCTGGTGAAGATGATTAGAAGGTTAGAACAAGAATTTGAAGAGTACATTACTTCTTAGAGACTTAAAGTTGAACTACGAAGCCTCATATGGATAGTGTAAACAATACTTTTAAAGACCTGTGATTAGATATGATTTCGTTTGCCAAGGCAACGCATTATATAATGTACCCCACATTACATAATGCGTTTATAACGATGTGTTTACATTTCTTAATTAAGTCTACTTGAAAATTGAAAGTATTAAACTATTAGTTATAGATTAAATTACCTGGAACCATGATTTACACACTATGACATTACAACAGTTTGACAGTTGACTAGATTTAGTTTTATTTACGTGTTTTTTTTAAACCAGTCTTTACAAAAGGAGGAAAAATCCCAAAACGACAGATTATTTTTGTGTATGTTACTCCATGTCTTCACCATTTTGATTTCAATGATTTGTTTCAATTTAAATGGTTTTACTTAAACGTGGTTAGACATCTCGTGGGTGTCGTAAGAGCCGAATAAGGGAGAAAACTACGCAGGACAACAGACAACGTCACTGCAATGAAAAGGAAAACTTGATATAAACCCTGTGCCAACCCGTCTGGCCAGCGTGGTGTAGTAGGTTAAACCTCCTTTCTAAGGAGAGGCCTGTTTAAGACTGTTGATGATGATGAATATTGGTAAAGCGGTAGATAAAAATTAGTGTGGAAAGTAATCATTAATCAAAACTAGAACGCATACAAATTTAACGTATCTGCTTTTAGAAAGAACAAGTTTCTGCAGTGATTATTGAGAGTTTGACTACTTGAAATACTAATCTTACGCAGCCCAAGTCACGGTCTAGCTAGAGCCTAGCTACTACTATCTATTATATCATTAAGTGTTGGTGGCAGGCTCTATTTTACATTGAGGCTCATAAAGGGTCGATTTTGTGTGAAGAAAGGTTGACTAGGTGAACCAGTCTAACGGTTCCGGAAGAACAGAGCTTCTTGGGCGTTCTCAGACTTCTAGGTGCAATTTTGTATACGGGAGTATACTTGGTCGTTGGGTGGTTACTCTCTCACACTACAGAATAACATGGGCAGCTGTTTCTGTTTCTTCTCTACATAGAGTACTGTCTGTCACATTGAGAGTGTTTAGCTGTCGATTCAAAACCAGGTGCCTACAAGTATTCGGGTATTAAATTGAAGTCTAAAGGTAAGTTATTCAAACACTTACTGTTCTGGTAGTATATTTTATATTCTACTAGATTTTGCCCACCGCTCTACCTGCGTGTATGTCGGTTATCGCGGTAAAAAATAGCCCGTTACTTGCTTATATTAATGATAATAATAATAGTTTCACACTGCTGTTAAACATACTTATATATTTCTAAATACATACATATTATAGATAAATTACACCCAGACACAGAACAAGCGATCGTGCTCATCACACAATTATTTGTCCTGGGGGGGAATCGAACCCACGACCTCTGGCGTAGCAGTCAGGGTCACTAACCACTAGATTAACAGGCCAGTCATATTGGAGCTTTTCATTGGTAAAAGAATCTTTAAAATCTGTTTAGTGGTTTAGGCGTGGCAGCGTAACAAACAAACAAACTCACTTTCACATTTAAAATATAGGCATGGATTAAAATGATCAAATATAGCCTTTGTAAGTATTAAAAGTTGTTTTAACAAAGTGCAACGTAGTGCAGGATTATAAAATAGAAGTAATGAAACATAGTAGATCCCAAAAAGCGCTAATAATGGTGGGAAATTATAATTTGAAACTGGTCAATTGAATTAGATGATAAATAATATATAAATCTATAGAAATTCAGTACCGAGGATATTGATATAAAGATTTTTGTGAAAACTTTGTAAAATAAATAAAAATAATAAAGCATAAAAAATAAAAACAAAATTAGTTCTGTGTGTTCGTGTAATAGATCTGTAATGTATGTATGTATGGTATGTATTTGCCAAATACTATTTGGAAATATATAAGTATGTTTATCAGCAGTCGCATTCTTATAGTGCAGGCCCTGTCTAGTTTGTGATCAGACGGTCGTATGTGAGATGTGTTAAGTTATTATTATTTGACAAGTAAATTTAAACGATACTTTGACATCTGCTATTGCAATTGTTTTTGCAAAGGTACCTATTTACGTAAATATTAATAATAATTGATTGCAAAATCGATCTAAGTGGCGTGCAATGGGAGAGGCCTATGTCCAGCAGTGGACTGCGATAGGCTGATGATGATGATGATGATTGTTACATAGAGAGGGACTTCACGATACGTGTTTAGCTGGCTGGTTTCGACGTCATGGCTGGTTTCGACGCAGTCAGATAAAAAGATTAACAGTATTGTTTCAAAGCTTTCATGTTTTAGTGTCACCATTAATGATCAAGGATGATAGCAGTATTTCTTGTGTGTATTGCTTGCGCCGCATATTGGCTCTGGCAGCAGCATAACACCAGCTTGAAGGAACCCCCGCTCTCCCCTGAAGCCTGGCCCATTATTGGCCATGCACTAGATTTTATTGGGGACAGCTGCAGTAAGTACCTTCATTTTAATATTAATAATAGATAGTTGTACTGCCAGATGTGTTTCCGAATCACCAACTAGTTTTGGGCCTGAGAAGTTCTTTATAAAACAGCAAAACGGCCAGTCGAATGAGTTGTTGGCACTGTCAAGTTTTATTTTATTGATTTATTTCCGTGTGGTGACGGATTAAGAATACGGAATGTCACCACCCCTATTCATCCCGTGGGTGTCGTAAGAGCCGACTAAGGGAGCAAACTACGCAGGACGACAGCACTGCAAAGAGAAGGAAACCTTGAAACAAACCCTATATCAACCCGTCTGGCCAGCGTGGTACAGTAGGCCAAAACCTCCATTTTAAGGAGAGGCCTATGTCCAGCAGTGGACTTAAAGGCTGTTGATGATGATGATGATATCCTATACTGTACAGACGAGTACAGTTTACAGACACTATCATCATATGGATCATTTGTCCTTGTGGTGACGTATTAAGAATATTTGTTTTTTTAATGAAACGTTAAGAACCGAGTAAGAGAGCAAACTATGTAGGATCACAGCACTGCAAAGAGAAGGGAAACAAACCCTATACCAACTTATCATAACCACGTGGTATAGTAGGCCAAATCCTCCTTTCTAAGGAGAGGCTTATGTCTAGCAGACTACTTAAAGCTGTTGATAACGATGTTTTGCCAGCTTGACATGGTGAGAAAGGCGATGCGCCTATCAACAAACATATACCCATGCTTATATCCCCGCAGGGAAAAGCAGAAGCGTATGAAACACAGTCATTTTTTTTATTATAATTTTAATTCCAATAGCAAAAGGCGACAATTCTATTGCTGCAAACGGTGCGCTTTAAAAGCAAAAGTTGGTGATGTAGGAAGGTAATGGAAGGAAAGTTGGTGGTTGGTTAGTGGATAGATCAAGAAGTGTACCTAAGCAGTAATTCAGGTAGGTCAGGGGCGATCCTGACCTACTTGAACCGCATTCCATTAACGGTGGATACTAATAAATCTATACAAATAAATAAAATTGGAGTGTTTGTACTGGCATATGTACCGTGTAAACATACATATGCATTTAGTAAAAAGCGGTTATTTTAATATTACAAACAGACACTCCAATTTTATTTATTTGTATAGATTATTGAGATATTCAGCAATTGTTGTTTGTCTTGAAATGACTTTTATTGATTTCGTCTATCTACTCATCCGTTGCTCTCTATATCCCAATATGAGGTATTGAAGAAACCTTTTCTTCAGCCTTCTAGTGGTCGTCTTCATCAGGCAATGATGATACTTGGAACAAAAAATTCAACGAACACATACTGCTGCTCAAACAAAAAGCATTAGCCGACGATACTTGACACAGGAAAACTGTCGAAATATCAGGCGGCTAAATCCGCCACTGGTGGCTACTGTACCAAAAATAAGTTATACACGTTTAATAAATGTAATAAACAAATGTTGACAGGCAAAATGTACGCTATGATGTCAATGAAGACGACCCACATCACAGCTGCGACTCAAGATGGACGTCATGTTGAAGCCTGTCCAAGGATACTTCATCAAAATCGAGAAAAGAACGTAGCTCATCATTTGGGTTCATTTATTTCTATATATTGTGCTTTTCTACACAATATAATCACAATACAATACACAATCTAATACAATTAAACCTATGGTAATATGAAAAAAT